ATTCTTCTTTTCCCCTCCCTATCCTCCATCCCTCAGCAGAAAATCAATTATTGTATGAAATTGCTCACACATCAATGTTATCATGAAGCACTGCACTCTTCCCTGCCTTCTGCCTGTTCAGGCTGTTCCTTTAACCTTTGGCTAAAGGCAAGGATGAATGTCACCTCCCAGACAAGGCTTCTCCAAGTCTTCGGCAGCTAGGCCTTGCAGGGCCTCCTTGCAAATAACTGAGTCTTTCTTCACTGGTTCTCCTTTCTCTCTGTCTCTGTCTCTGTCTATTTCTGTTTCTCTCTCTCCTCTCTCTCTCTCTCTCTCTCTGCCTGGCCACAATTTCTTCTGAGGCCTTATCGCCCTTTGTTAACACTTACTTATCCAGACTCTTCTGCCAGGGTCATCTGGGTCTTTTATAGTTAAAAAAAAGTCCAATCAAACTGGCATTAATACAAAACCAAACAAAAAACCCTAATCATTGTTAATGTGTAAATGGTTGCCACTGGGTAAATACTTGAAATTTTGTATTTTAAAAAATCTAACCAGTATTTATTAAGTTCTGCTACTTGTGCCTAACACTGTTAGGAGCACACAAAGTTAACACACAAGTTCTTGCATTCAAGAATCATACTGGAAAGCAAGATTTAGTTAAATGAAAGCCATTTAAGGATGACCCAAAAAACAAAATGAGTCTGGAATGATTAATAAAATCAGATAATGACACTGTGTTTCCTCGTCTGCGGAATCACAGAGGATTTGATCAGATTATTCATAAAATTCTCTCTTTTATTCCAAATAAATGAGCACTAGGTATTTCAAATTTTATTTTATATATATATATATATACACGTGTATGTATATATACATATACATATTATTTTATATTATATATAAAAATATATATATATATATTTTTTTGAGATGGAGTTTCGCTCTTGTTACCCAGGCTGGAGTGCAATGGCGCGATCTCGGCTCACCGCAACCTCCGCCTCCTGGGCTCAGGCAATTCTCCTGCCTCAGCCTCCCGAGTAGCTGGGATTACAGGCACACGCCACCATGCCCAGCTAATTTTTTTGTATTTTTAGTAGAGACGGGGTTTCACCATGTTGACCAGAATGGTCTCGATTTCTTGACCTCGTGATCCACCCGCCTCCGCCTCCCAAAGTGCTGGGATTACAGGCTTGAGCCACCGTGCCCAGCCCTATATTTTTATATATAATATAATTTTATATTACAAAGTAATAGAATAATATAATATAAATTATATATTATGTAGTAAAATAATATACTAACAGTACTGTGTGCCAGACACCATTCCTGAACTCTTCCAATTCATAACACAATGAGGTGGCCATTATAAATCTTCCATGCTACAGGTGGGGAAACTTATGCAGAGAGAGGTTAAGAATTTGCCCATGGGCACACAGCATGGTGGTACAGCTGGCATTTGAACCCAAGGCAGATAACCAGTGTGTCATGGCATCTCTGTGTAGGCCTAAACTCATTCTTACCCATACTTATTTTCAAATTATACTTCCTTACTTCTTTAATGAGAAAACAATGTATCCTTGTTGGGATGCCTATTTTTCTATTTTCCATTAACCCACAAACTTTGCCTTCTCAGTTTAAACTTGTACAATTTGCAACCAAGTCTCTAACATTTTCTTGGCTGCATCTTTTCTCCAGGGGTTTGGTTTACTGGAATCTACAAATTTTATTCAGATTTTAGCCAAAATCCTGCCTTATTCACTGTATCACTTATCTTTTAAATTTACTCAAAATATGTTAGGTTAAATCTTCATCTTATAGCTCTCTTTTTTCTACCCCTTTTTAAATTTTTATTCCACAGCCTCCCTAGGAGGATTTCCTCTTAGTGCTTCACTAAAATCTAAGTTTCTTCCATGGCTGCTCCTGTCTGCTTCATCCCTGCAGCTGCTGCATGTCCACCCAAGTCCTATCAAGACACTGCTGCGCGACTGAGAAAAGAGGAAAAGGAGGAAGACCAGGGACAGCTGTGCCACAGTGAATTCCAATATAGGGCAATGAAAACTCATGCTGACAACAGTTTCCAGGAGAGTGGCATTTGAGCTGGTAATAAAGTCCAAGGACATCAGGGAGTGAAAGGAGACCTACTGCCCTAGGCTGAGGGAGGGAGATGACTCTGGGGTCTCTGTGTCCCTCAGGCCAGCCATCCCTGACCTCTATTCTGAACAAACTGCCTGTGGTGTTGTTCTATATAGTGCCAAAGCCCAGAAAAGGACAAATCATGATTTTTTTTTCTTAGAATATTCTCCTCACCTGGGGTGCAGCCAAGTAGATCTGAGCCATTTCATATATTGCATCCAGTTCCTCACTGAAATTCCAGTTGTTTTTCACCCACTCGAGAAAGCGTGGCAGAATGCAAGTAAGTCAGCTTGCTGTGCCCATAGACATAACCTCAAACGGGTTTGATTTATTTAGGCAGGTCAGTCATCTGAAAAGGTCAGCCCTTAGCAGTTCCTAGGAATTAATCAGTGGTGTGACACAATGCAGCTGTGATTGGCACAAGCCAGAGACAACTGGGCGGTGGGAGGCACAATACTAAATTACTAACCCCCAGAAGCCTGTGGCCCTCTTTTAAAAAACAAACAAAAAAACCTTGCCTTGAATGCCACCTAATGAGTGCTTGCTGGGGTGTTGGATGGTCTTGAACCTACATTCTTGCATTGTTTTGATACTGAGTCGGGGGCCATTACAGACTATACTTTGTCACAAAATAAGGTAGAAAAAAATGAGTTCTACAGCTGGCAAAAGATCAGAGACCTGTGCTTTGAAAGATGAATAGATGTGTTTCCCTTTTTATGATTAATGAAGATTATTACTGACAATTATTTAAAATGTTTCTAATAATTACAATGGTTGTTCTTGGTTTAATACTCATTTCACAAAAGATAAAGAATTATACAGTTCTAATTAAGGTTTGGGAGTAATATTGAAAATTGGTTTTCCCAAAGTACGTTTCAAGTGTTCCTGCATAAGGAGATGAGTAAAGAATTTGCTCAGGGTCTGTGATGAGCTGGACCTTGGAATGAGGACCAGAATCCAAGCTCCTGACCCCAGACCCAGCTTATATGATAAGGAGCATAAATACTCATACTGGAGTTTGGTTGTTCTTGAAGAGGGATTTATGATCCCCAAACCAGGAGTTCCTTTCTTCCCAGGTTGCTTTCAAGACTTTGCGATGACCCACCTACTCCCAGAAATTACTCCTGATTAATTTTACTGCCCTCCAAACCGGTCTTTATGTCAGCACTTCTGAACTGACTTCAGTCTTTTCTTTATTTTTCTTTTTTCTGCCTGGATATAAACTCAATCGTTATTTCTCAAAGAATGAATTTCCTTTCTCCAGTGACCTGAAGTATCTTGAGGGCAAAAGACACTTCTATTTATGACTGTGCTTCCCAGACCTTCCTCTCCCACCCATCTCCCTTTGTACCCCTCTTCCTACCTCCCTGCCACCCCTCCCATTCCACACAAGTGGCCCAATGCAGGAAAACTTCAGCCTCCTGGCCTCAGGATGGTTCCAAGCGCTCACTGGTAATGGACACACTCCCTCTGGAGGAGCTGGGCTGAAGAAATACTGACTGACCTGGACAAATGCTCCTAATTTAAACGTAAATTCAGACTTTAAAAATGGACCTGGTGATATGCAGAACTTACAATATGGTTTAAACAGACTGGCTTTCTCTGTGATGATCACTCTTTAGGAGCCCTGAAAAGGAGAGGCCAGATGGGAAATGGGTACTCCTGGCTTCCTCAGGGAGGAGAATGCAGGGCTCTCCACCAAGTGCCCCCTGGAAGCTCAGTGCCTAGCAGTGCCGGGCGCCTTCTGATTGCATCTGGGAACCTAAAGCCCTTAGATATTTGTACAGCTCGTTGCAGTTTTAAAAGGGTTCCCACACAAATGGCTTCACCTGATCCTCATGAATGCCTTGCCAGGAGTGAAGGACAGGTTTCATTATCCCTGCTTTTTGAAGAGGAACCTGGATCCCTGGAGTCCACAGAAATGAGAGGAGCCAGGATCTGAGCCCACAGATATTCATTTAATTGAACAAATACAGAAATTTTAAGGTAGACAGAGTGTTTGTCCTTAAGAAGCTCATAATCTAGTTGTGGAGAAATGTTCAAAATTTTTTTATTGTTTATTTATTTATTTTTGAGACAGAGTCTTGCAGTTTCCCCCAGGCTGGAGTGCAGTGGCACAATCTCAGCTCACTGCGACCTCTGTTTCCCAGGTTCAAGCAATTCTCCTGCCTCAGTCTCCTGTGGGATTGCAGGCCTGCACCACCACATTCAGCTGTTTTTTGTATTTTTAGTACAGACAGGGTTTCGCCATGTTGGTCAGGCTGATCTCAAACTCCTGACCTCAGGTGATTTGCCTGCCTTGGCCTCCCAAAGTGCTGGGATTACAGGCATGAGCCACCTCGCCTGGCTCCAAAATAAAAATAATTAAAATAACCATACAATGAATAAATAAGGCAAAACCAGACATCCTTCATTGTGAAATGAGGCAAGAGAGTGCTGTGATTTTTTAGGGGACTAAAGTAACTTTCATCCCGTGATTGAACTGAACTGAAATTTCTGTGTCCTCCACCCCCACCCCATTCCAAGTTCCTGCTGAATATTCCAGGTTTTGCTAGAATTCCTTATGACACATTAAACATCTTCAACTCTACACCTTAGCTATGGCGATGTCTGGGCTTGTCACATTATCTTCAGCCCTGTATTTGCAGTGCAACCAGGGCCAAAACAAAAAAGAATTTTTTTTTTTTTTTTTTTAAATTTAAAAAGTCACAGGGAACATGAAAAAGGGGGAAAGGGAAATTTGTATTCAGTGTTCCAGGAAAGTCCACCCTCTCCTTCTAGGAGTGGATCTTAGTGGATCTAATGAATCACACATGAAGAGAGACGTAAAAGAGGAAAGAGTTTCAGGAGAGTACTGACCAGGTCAAAGGAGAGGGTTGGGGAGAAGAGCCATGAAATAATCAGGAGACAAACTTTTGGGGACTTTTGATTGACTAGATGTAGCAACGCTGTGGAAGACTTCTGGCCTGCCATTTCCTGAGAATGGGACTGCTAAGAGAGGAGCTGGGAGGAGCGCTGCAAATTTCGCTTTGGACACCTGAGTCAGCGGTATCTGTAAAGGGACCTAGTTGGGAGACCAAGCAGGCAATTTGACATGTGGGCCAGGAGCACAGAGAAGGGGCTTGAGGATGCATATTTGGGTATTGCCATGGTTCCAATGTCCCCTCCAAAACTCATGTTGAAACTTAATCCTCCAAGTGGCAGCATGGAAAGGTGGGGTCTTTAAGAAGTGACTGGATCATGAAGGCTCTATTCTCATTATTGAATGAATTAATCATGGGAGAACTGGCGGCTTTATAAGAAGAGAAAGCAAGTCCTGTGCTAGCACCTTAGCCCCCTTACCATGTCATGCCCTGAACCCCTCAGGACTCTGCAGAGTCCCCATCAGCAAGAGAGCTCTCACCAAATGCAGCCCCTCAACTTTGGACTTCTCAGCCTTCAGAGCTGTAAGAAATAAATTCCCTTTCTTTTTAAATTACCCAGTTTCAGATATTCATTTTTTAAATTTTATTATTATTATTATTATTTTTGAGATGGAGTCTCACTCTGTTGCCCAAGCTGGAGTGCAGTGGTGCAATCTCAGCATACTGCCACCTCCACTCCCTGGGTTCAAACAATTCTCCTGCCTCTGTTTCTTGAGTAGCTATTACAGGCGCCTGCCACTGTGCCCAGCTAATTTTTGCATTTTTAGTAGAGACAGGGTTTCACCCTCTTGGCCAGGCTGGTCTTGAACCCCTGACCTGGTGATCCACCCTCCTTGGTCTCCCAAAGTGCTGGGATTACAGGTGTGAGCTACTGCACCTGATTCCAGTTTCAGATATTCTGTTATAAGCAACAGAAATAGACTAACTATCTTTGACATGGAGTGGGTACTGGAAGTCATGTGATTTCTGTGGAATCATCTTGAAAGAAAGCGTAAAATGAGAAGACACAAGGGCCCAGGAAAGAGCCCTAGGGAGCTCAGCATTTGCCCAGGAAAAGGGAGAAGAGGAAGGAGCCTGTTACGAATCTGAGGAGGAGCAGCCAGAGGAGGGGGAACTCAGGAAAGCATGCTGGTGTGGGAGTCAGGAGAAGTGTGTCAGAAGGGAGCAGTTGACAATGTCAGAAGCTGCCAAGAGGCACAGTAAGATTGAGGGAGGAAGTGAGTGCGGCTGTTTCCTTTTGGGCCAGAATTTCAAAACACCAGGATGAAAGGGCATCTAACAAATAGCAAGTATGCAAACTAACTTTTGTACCTACCAGACTTCAGACTAAAACTAGTACAAGGGATAGTTGCCAGGGTAAGGAGAAGCCCAGGAAATTACAAGAGAATGTCCAGTTTCTAAAATGACTTACAAACAATTATCATCCAAACAAATAGTATGAAAAAATATACACCTGAAAAAATGCGTGAAAATGGCCAAGAAAACACTGAAAATCAAGGTTAATGGAGGAAGATTTTACTGCCAGTTATTAAAATTTACTATCAGCTGTGCTGACTGGAACTGCCAGAATAGATAACAAGCCAGGATGGGAAGCCCTGATACATGACTTTGGTGGGGACTGTAGGTAGCTCCTCTGGCTACCTTCTTTCCAGTTGAATAGGTTGGATATCTAACTCCCTTGCAACTAGGTTCAGCTACTCAGGTGTCCTTAAGTTAGACTTGAAAGGCAGAGAGCAGAGGCCATTTTCCTGCTGTTTCTGATGGAGATGCAGGGCTTCCATAGGAAAGAGGGGTCCACCTGTATAAAGATCCCAACAGCCATATTCTCCAGGTGTTCAGTCCCTCTTTGCCCCTCCAAAACCAAGTGACAGTCCAAGAGACTCTGCCCATGGAGACTCCACCTGCTGGTCCTCCAGGTGGAGTAACTGATAACAAGTCTCTAGCTTACTCCTAAGTGTTTATTCTGAAGGCAGAGTATGTGCAGCAAGACCAGATTTTTGGCCCAGCTAGCATTGACTACTGCAATGTCAAAAGAGCACACAAACAGACTTGAAAAGCAAATGACAAACTGGGAAAAATGGCTGTAACATAGGCAGCAAAAGGCTGACATTCTATAAAGAGTTCTTGCATATGAATAAGACAAAGATGAATCCAAGCGGGCAAAAGTTTATGTTTAGGCAATTGGCAAAACTGATGCATAAAAACAGGTTTAACATTATTAATAATTAATGGCATAAAGCTTAAAACAATAATACAAGACCATTGTTCCATTACATTGTCAAAGATGACAATAAAATGATGTGACAGTGAAGGATGTGGAGAAAAGTTGGTATCAAAGCTGTGCCATCTTTCTGTATATCTTTCATATTAATCAAACACCTTCAACAATGAGCACACCTTTTGACACCAGTTCCCAGACTTTATTCTGAATAAAATGACATGCACACAGATTTAGCTACAAGTACTTTTGCAAAAGTTAAAAGTTGAAAACAACCCAAATGTACAAAAATAAGAGAGATAATTATGGTACATTTGTATAATGGTATGCCACTTGGTCATTAAAAATGCCATAGAAGGCCGGGCGTGGTGGCTCACGCCTGTAATCCCAGCACTTTGGGTGGCCAAGGCAGGCGGATCACCTGAGGTCAGGAGTTTAAGACCAGCCTGACCAACATGGAGAAACCCAGGCATTGTGGCGCATGCCTGTAATCCCAGTTACTCAGGAGGCTGAGGCAGGAGAATCGCTTGAATGATAGAGAGGTTACAGTAAGCCATGATCATGCCATTGCACTCCAGTCAGGGCAACAAGAGCGAAAACTCCATCTCAAAAAAAAAAATGCCATATAAGTATATCTTTTGACAGGCTTATTTCTGGCTTCTGGTTTTAGGTGGTTTTTGTTTTTTAATTTTATTTATGGTTTACTATTTTCCTGTAATTATTGCATATTTTTTAATAATGATTTTTTAAACTGGCAATTATATGGTGAAAAGGAGAGAAAGGCATTAGTAAATTCTGAAGCGACTGAAATTAAATTGTAACTCATCATTAATAAATAAGCATCAAGGCCAACATGGTGAAACTCCGTCTCTACTACAGATACAAAAAATTAGCCGGGTGTGGTGGTATGTGCCTGTAATCCCAGCTACTTGGGAGGCTGAGGCAGGAGAATCGCTTGAACCCAGGAGGCAGAGGTTGCAGTGAGCCAAGATCGCGCCTTTGCACTCCAGCCTAGGTAACAGGGAGAGACTCCGTCTCAAAAAAAAAGTATATATATAAACAAACAAGTAAACATCATTACATACTAACATTTACCTAAAATAAACTAGATTTCATTTACCTGAAATAAACTAGATTTTGTTTTTCTACTATGGGAGGAAAGACCTAAAATAAAAATGGACTTGAATTATAGAAAATAAAGTTACAATTCAGGCATATGTCTTTGAACTGAAATTTGTACCTGTTATGTGTGTATAAAAAATATATCCACTAGTTTAAAACAGTGGTTCCTTTCAGGGGTGGTGTTAGAGGGAGGCAGGAGACAATTTTTTGTTTACACAACTCTATTTGACTTGTTATAACAAGCATGAAAAATCAAAGGTCACTTAAAAAGTAAAAATGGTTATAATTATGAAAATACTTAGAAATATGTAAAGTATCTACAGTATGATCATTAGAAATCATATATATCACAGTATACTGTGCTTATAACTATGTTCTTCATATATTTCCATGTGAAAGAAGCCTGAACAGAATACTCTGCAATGAAAATAGTGTTTAAGTTAATTCATTCCTTCATTTATTCCACAAATGTGTGCTGAGCTGCTACTATAGGCCGGGCAACTGTTGTAGGCACCTGGGATATAGCAGGCAATCAAAAGTCAAATGTGCCTCCACTCAGGGAACCTAAATTCTAGTAGCAGGAGACAGACAATACATGGTTAACACAGTGAGTATTTAGGAGGTGTGAGTTCGTGCCATGAGAAAAGTGGAGCAGGCCAAGGGAGACTAGCAGTGCTCTGGGTCAGGGGCAGGTTTGAATAGGTTGGTCAGGAAAGGCCTCACTGAGGTGACATGGGAGGAAGACTCGGAAGAGCTGAACGGGTCTGTCCTGGAAATGCCTGGAAGAGGAGTTTTGCAAGTAGAAAACAGCCAGTGCAGAGGCCAGTGCAGCTGACAGAGACAGCTAAGCAGGCCAGTGGGTTGTCCGGCTCTGCGACCGTTGTAAAGACTTTAGCGTTTTATTTCATGCAAACTAAGAAGCCACTGTGCGGTTTGGAGCAAAGAAACGACAGGATTCCCGTGGCTGCTGTGCGGAAATGACAGCTACTGGGAGGGTGGAGAGGACAGGGTGACCTAGGTGTTCAGGTGAGAGATGAAGCGGGGCTGTGGATATGCCGAGATGATGCAGCCTAGACACAGACTGAAGGCAGAGTCAACAGGGTTTCTAATCAGATTGTGTCAACAGCGTGAGAGAGTGAGGCTGGCTCTTCGGGTTCTGGCTTGAGTGAAGGGAGCCGCCATTAATGATGATGGGAAAGACAGGTGGGCGGAGGTTTGGAGATGGGGGAAGAAAAGGGTCTTATTTTTTTCCTCCTTGGAATAATATATTCCAAGCAATATATAATTAAGCAATATGTATTTTTTCCATTAAGAAAGTCCCAAATATTATACTGTTCCAAATAAAAAAATCATTTCAAGACTCCTGACGCAGCAACCATTACAATCCCAGTACTGTTAATGTTCCAGTCAAGTCAGTCCGTGCTCTGGAGACATCCCATGACGCAACACAGGCCAGGAGACCAGGCCTAGATTCCGGTTTTCGAAAAAGGGGGCAAAAACGGAGGCTGCAAATCCATCCCCAGTCCTGGCAAGATTCTCGAAAATGGCGGGAGAGGGCTGCATAAGAACTTCAAAAACGAGCAGCGGGTTCCTTGGATTCAGCGTGAGGGGAAAAAACCGCGGGGCAATTTTGGAACTTAAGAGTCCATGTTTGAAGGAGCCGGAGGCTGCCTGCGAGGAGCCCCGGGCACGACTGTTAGGGCCGCGCCGGCCAGGCCGCCCTCCTCCAGGCAGCCTCGGTTGGGCCGCTTCCGCGCCGGCGGGCCCGGCCGCAGGTACCTGGCCAGCACTTGTCCGAGGGCAGCGCGGGCGCACCCTGCAAGAGTCCTGTCTCGTCAAGAGAGGCAGCGAGAGACAGCAGCAATGAACGAAACAGAATCTTCCTCAACTACTGCTACACAAGAGCCCCCAGCCGAGGAGCAGGAACACACAAGCCCCGGTGCTTTCTGAAAACCTTGTCGCCAGGACCCGCGACAAGCAGGGGAGCAGCGCTCTTTTCGAAAAGCCAGGCCAAGCGGGCCGTTGCTGGGCGACCTTTGGGCGGAGGGAGAGGGCAGGGCTGCCCCGCACCGGCTCCGTCCTCACTTCAGCATCCTCGCCCCGCCCCTCCCGCTCAAGCCCCACCTAGCACCCGGAGGGCTGACGCATGCGTGCTTCTTCCCGCGTGGCTCCAGGAGCCGCGCGCTCCCACAGCCGGCCAGTCTCTTCTGCCCCGCCCCCTCCTGTACGGCCGCTACTCTGCGCCCCGACTTCGTTCTCACAACCTGGTTCTGCCCACACCTGTTCTTCAGCCCTGTGACCAGTGGCTGTAGAACAATCTCAGGCCTGGCCGAGCCACCTCCCTCGCTTCCGTGGTGGCGGTGGTGAAGGGCTGGGGACGGGGTGGGGGGAGGGCGGGTAGAAAAATGGGCGGGATGTGGGAGGTGGCGTTGCTGGCCCACTTCCGGATGCGGGCGGAAGTAGCTGCGGTGGATGGTGGGGGGGGAAGGAGTGCGAGGGGAGGGCCGGGCCGTCGGGGGTCGAGGGGGTGGGGCCTGGGCTGGCGCAAGGGATCGGGCCTGGGTCCTGGATTGCTAACCCGGGCGGGCCGCGACTCCTAGCCGAGACGGGGCGGGTGGGCACCAGGTAACGACCCGGCGCAGTTAGGGCTAGGGTCGTCCGCAGGGCGGACCGGTGGGGGTCGGAGTCCAGGGAGGGTCGCGGTGTCACCCCCTGCTGTGAACCCGGAGCTCGGGGTTCCGGGGAGAAGGGTGGGAGGAGTTAAATTCTTGGAGGGGGTGGAGGTCATGTGGACGCCACGCCCCTACAGGAAGGCAGTGGGGGAGGGAGGGGGAGAGACAGAGACAGGGAAAGTGTGAGAGTGTGTGTGTGTCTGTTTTGGAATAAACTTGGAGGGGAGGGGGGCGACAGGGGTGAGCTTCCGGGCTGAGAAATGGGGACACTGGGGGGGTACTGCAAGCAGGACTCGGGCCTTAAGCATTCCAGCAGAGTGTTCTCTAGCCCCGGGAAGGACTTTGACAGTGGTTGGGAATTATATCTCTGGCACAGTTTTGCAAGCAGAGGCGGAGCTGAGGGTTGAAGGAAAAGGAGCAAAGAATGCATGTGGAAGGTGCCAACATCTCGGTCTGGAAAGGATTTATTAACTAGTTTAGTTGAAGAAGGCTGGTGAATTAAAACAGCACCCTAAGAAGCTTGGGAGTTTCGATTATTATGTTGTGCTTTAGACGGGAGGGCAGGAGAAAGGGCGTTATTTTCTCTATTTTTAGAAGACAGTCCTCAGTAATTTTTCTGTGGTGAGAATGGGTACCACCCATATTTTATCCTGAATCACGTATATGTTTGTACATATATATAATATGTTTATATATAAACACTTGATGAGGTGACTATTCTGGCGTGTGATACCTAAGTAGATGTTTTGTATAATCTTGTGCAGCGTTTAACGAGGGTTTTTTGATGATAGAGCCTAGTATCGACTCTTAATGTAGGTAGGGAGTGGAAACTAGAAGGTTTTAAGACTCTATTTGGGTATATACTAGATTAGAGAATGTTATAATGTTTAAATGTTCTGCAGGTTAACACCGAAATCTGCCTCCTGGGCCATGCGGCTTCTAAGACCTGTTTCTTCTCATGAGCCCCAGCAGAAGATTATGGGCCAGTTCTCACAGTGGATAACTTCCCCTGCTTGAGCAAGAGATGGGATAGTATCTGGGATCTGTCTATCACCAGACTCTGAGCTTAATAAGGCAGCTGAATGAAGGGATGTAACGGACCCCTGAGAGTGGCACTGAAGTCTGCAGTGGGGGGGGAGGGGCCTGGACACACCCCTTCCCCCCCAGACTCCTCCCCTTCAGGGTCAGCTCAGCCATGGACTTTGGACCTGGATAGGAAGAGAGAAGCTGCACTTTGTTTGGTGGATCTGATTTGGGATTCTCAGTTTTGGAAAAGGAGTGCTGGATGGGGGCTTGACGATCTCCAGGGGAGCAGCTGAGACAAGAAAGGTAAGGCTCCTGTCTCATTTCCCACTTAGTGACTTGCTGCGCCTGTGCAGGTGTTGCGCGAGTGTGTTTGCCGAGACTACTATTCAGTAAGTCTTATCCAGATGGGTACACTGGAAGCTACACCTTTCCTTTACTCTGTCCGGATGTATACTTGTTCCCAACCTCTTCTTACCCAGGTTGGATGAATGCCTTGGATTGTGAGCAATAGCAGTTGTGAGGTTAGGCCAAGGAGAACATGAAAATAATTCAGGCTTCTGAAGGGAGGTTGGATTAGTTGACGTTTAAGGGCCCTTCCAACAGGGAGATAATAGGATTCCAAGTCAGTCTGGGTTAAGACTGGAATGGATTACCTGGGCAGAGGCAGCTGCTCTGTTTTGGGGAGCTAACTGAATAGGACTGTTGGTAGGGGGGAGGGGGTGGGAATGGTCTAGATAACCTCCTAAGTTGTCTCTCTTCCTCCTTCTAAAACCGGAGCTTAGGCCATGAAAGCTCAGCAAAAGAGCCGAGTAACAGAACATAGGTTTGGGAGTCAGAAGTACTTGTGTTCTAGCTTTGACTTTTTTAGTCAGTGTTCAACCCTACACAGGCCGATTAATCTCTGCCATGTTCTCTTCACCTACTAAATGGGGGAAAAACTAACTTTCCATGTTCACAAGTTGTTACAAGGGGCAAATGAAACAATGAAGGATTTTGAAAAGTATCCAGGGCCATGCTCATAGGAAACAATAACACTGATATTGCTCAATATGCTTTAAAAGCACGGAAACATCTCCAAATTAGGAGTTCTGTTTTCTTATTGAAATAGTGTGCTGGCAAGAACCCAAGAAGATGTCCTTAATTAAAAGTCTGCCCCTGAATCTGTTTCATCCTCTTGTTAAATAATACTTGAGATCGTCAAGTTGTAGAACAGGTGAATGGATCCAAGGAGAACTTGGATTAAAGAATTCTTGCGGATACTACATTGGCTCTTATGGCTCTCCAGTCCAATTTCAGTGTACCCCTTTGAGGTAGGCTGATTCAAGAGGGGGTAGCGGGAAGTTTAAGCCTTAAGGGCCAAGTGTCTGGCTAGGAGTTGGTACTGCACTTCCTTTTTTTTTTTTCTTTTTGAGACAAGAGTCTTGCTCCGTTTGCCCAGGCTGGAGTACAGTGGTGCCATCTCTGATCACTGCAACCTCCGCCTTCCAGGATCAAGCAATTCTCTGCCTCAGCCTCGCTGGTAGCCAGGATTACAGGTGCCTGCCACCATGTCCAGCTAATTTTTTGTATTTTTAGTAGAGATGGGGTTTCACCACTCGGCCAGGCTGGTCTTGAACTCCTGACCTCATGATCCACCCACCTCAGCCTCCCAAAATGCTGGGATTACAAGCGTGAGCCACTGCACCCAGCGTCTTTTTTTTTTTAAGAGACGGAGTCTTGCTCTTGTCGCCCAGGCTGGAGTACAGTGGCTTGATCGTGGCTCACTGCAACCTCTGTCTCCCAGGTTGAAGTGATTCTCCTGCCTCAGCTTCCCAAGTAGCTGGGATTACTGGCACCCGCCACCATGCCCAGCTAATTTTTGTATTTTCAGTAGAGACAGGGTTTCGCCATGTTGGCCAGGCTGGTCTCGAACTCCTGACCTTGTGATCCACTCGCCTTGGCCTCCCAAAATGCTAGGATTATCAGCGTGAGCCACCTTGCCTGGCCGGTACGGCATTTCTTGGAGCGAGTGCTGGGCTTTTCCTTCCTGTGCCATATCCTAGTCATATCTCCTGCTCTTTAAGATGACTTTTTTCCCAGACTGACATCTCTTCGCCCTCTGTATTTTCTCTGGCTGTATTCCCACTTAAAGCAGCCCTGTTTGTCTTTATCTTCTTACTTCCTGCCTGCCCCCTCCTTCAACTCCAGTTTACCTGTAACAAGATGCCTGCTTTTCCCAGTGACAACACATAGCAGAAAGAAGAGGTAGAGCACAGCATTGGGAATTTTGAGAGACAGTAGGATATGGTGGCCTGGGCAAAGGGCAGGAAGCCTGGCTTCTGGCATCTCTCTGCCTCTCCCTAGCTCAGTAACACCTGGGCCTCAACACATTCCTTGAGGATGGGTGACAGTGAGGTCATCTGCAAACTGAAAATCCTGTACTTATGCCTTACTTTCCTTGTTAAATTTTTTCTTCCACACTCCCCACCCCCTCCCCTGCCACCACCATCTTTCTTCTTTGCCACAGTTGTTTTCCTGACTCCCTGCAGTGGTCTGAGAGGTTGGCAGTGGCCTGGGTGTAGTTGCTGCTGTGGAGCTGTTCTTTTTCCTCTGGTCTGATGCCTGGGGCAGCCCCTTTGAGGCCAGGCTGCTCCTTTTTAAGGTGTGTGGGTCTCAAGGTAGGTGTGTCACCTTCCCCAGCTAATTTCTGGTGCTGGTCTTTGCTTAGGCACAGGGATCACAGTGATCTCTCAGGGATATGTGATGCCAGGGTATCTCCTTAGCCATCTCTGGGATCCCAAGCACCAGGGAGTTGTGTATTTGCGTAGTGCTATCACATGACCCATCCAGTCTGCTGTTTCAGTTTTCCCTCACCACTTTGTTGTGAGGAGAACAGAGCAGGAATTCTTTTCCCAGTTTGAGGGGAAGCTACGGAAGCCCTGAGTGGGAAGGGGTTGCCTAAGTCTAGAGTGGTAGGTCCTGAAATCGTCTCCCAGGGCTGTGCTGTTTCCATAGCATCTGACCTGACAAGGGCCATCTGGATTCTGCTGCAAACCTCCAGGGAGAGAAGCTCTGTGTCCTGCCAGACAGCCTCAATGGTAGAACATTTCCTCCTTAGAGTGAGCAAGAATTCCTCTCCCTGACCCTCCCACCCTCCTGCCCTCCACCTGACCCTTCATGAGACAGTCCTCTCAAGACAACCATTGGCTTTCTCACGGGGACCAGGATGCCAGCACTCAGCAGGTATCAGGCTACTGAGCCAGGACCAATGATGGACTTAACCAGACTGTGTGTGTGTATTTTTTTTTTTTGACATGAAGTCTCACTTTGTTGCCCAGGCTGGAGTGCGGTGGCAAGATCTTGGCTCACTGCCAACTTCCCCTCCTGGGTTCAAGTGATTCTTCTGCCTCAGCCTCCTGAGTAGTTGGTATTACAGCACACGCCACCACTTCCAGCTAATTTTTGTATTTTTATTAGAGATGGTTTCACCAGAGTGGTCAGACTGGTCTCGAACTCCTGACCTTGTGATCCGCCTTGCTCAGTCTCCCAAAGTGCTGGGATTATGGGCATGAGTCACCACCCCTGGCCAATGTGTGTATTTAACTCTTTATTTCCTTCTTTTTTTTTTTTTTTGAGACGGAGTTTCACTGTTGTTACCCAGACTGGAGTGCAATGGCATGATCTCGGCTCACCGCAACCTCCGCCTCCTGGGTTCAAGCAATTCTCCTGCCTCAGCCTCCCGAGTAGCTGGGACTACAGGCGCGCACCACCATGTCCAGCTAATTTTTTGTATTTTTAGTAGAGACGGGGTTTCACCTTGTTGACCAGGATGGTCTCGATCTCTTGACCTCGTGATCCACCCGCCTCGGCCTCCCAAAGTGCTGGGATTATAGGCGTGAGCCACCGTGCCCGGCCTATTTCCTTCTTTATTCCAAATCAATTGTAGGTGGCTAACCAAAAATTATATTTCACAGACATTGTTTAGTGATTATTGTGTTAATCTTTCCTCTTTGACCTGGATGAGATGAGTTTCTGGGTCTCTACCGTGGGGTAAGGGAGAGGGGCAAGCAGAGATATTGGGAGGCAGGGAGAAGGGAAGCAAAACACTGGTTAAAAATTTTGCTTTTACTGATGTTTTCAAGCCAACATGCATTTTAACTTCAGGGCATGAATTCTTTCCAAATTGTAAAAAAATGTCATGGATCTTGGGCATGGTTTATGGGAGGGCAATTTCCTTTTCTTCTTTTCAGTTCTCTTGGTGGTGGAGTGGGCAGGAGAGAGTATTGTTCCTTCTAATTCTCTTTCATCCTGTGACTGGATCCTCCTGTTTTTCCCTTTTGCACATAATCCAATCCCAGGCCCACCCCCAGAATCCTGGTCCCTTCTTACCCCAGTCACTGCTCCCCATGCAACCTCTATCAAGAGCTCAGGGCCTCTTTTTCTCAGGTCAGTTTGGCACTCAGTTACCCTGGTTTCTTGCTTCTCAGACCAAGTGTTTTCTTTTGCCTCCATCAAGCCCATCCTGATTCTCTAACCAGGGCCTTTCTTTTTGGGATAGTCTCTTGTCATCCAGGAATTTCTCCTTTTGGATTTTCCTATGAGCTTTGGGAAGAGATGGGGTGTGAGGTACGGTGCACAAACAGCCCCCCCCCCCCCCCTTCTGGAGAAGTATCAGCGGGTAGAGGTGGGAATCTGACATCTCATGGGCTGGTTGATCTTCACCCACCTTTCAGTACCCTCTTATGTCCGTCTTTTCTCCTGGAAGGTGATTTCAGCTTGTCACGTCTTGGATCTACAAACCAGTGTTTCCCAATTTTTTCACTTTTAGGAAATATCACTGTTTTCCTTTATGCCTTGACACCTTGTATGAGTATGCAGAGCCCCCAGGCCCCTCCTGACTCCTTCATCAGGCAAACAGAGGGTGGAGGTGACAGACACAGGCCTCTGACTGGCACATCCGCGTGAGCTCGAGGATCCTGCCGCGGTGCATACAATCAGCTAAAGTGGAGGCCACAGGGCTCCCGCACACTGCACACTACACACTACACACCGCACACAGCGGGCCTCAGTGGGCCTGCTCTTCTCCCACTCCTCCTCCAGGTCGGGGGCTCTGGCCACTTTTGCAGAGGCTTCATGGCAGTGCCTGAGAGGACACAGAGCCCTCTCAGGACACTGGCACTGGCGGATGTGTGTGTGAGGGGGGTGGATGGGGAGGGGTGCACAGGAGACTACAGGCGCGCACCACCATGTCCAGCTAATTTTTTGGTCTAAAACCTGGCCATGCTCCCCACCAGGTCTTGTGGCTTCCAGCACGTTGACACTTAACCCTGAGCCTCAAACTAGTTAACTGTAAAATGGGGATGATACCGCCCACTCTGCAGAGCTCTGGGGCTTGAAGGAGAAGCTGAGGGAGGGTTTGGCCTGTGGAGGCTTCTCACCATACCTGGTGACCCCTTAACAGTTTTGGTTTAGGTCTTTGCCTCCATACAAGGGCCTGTGGGGTGTGCCTGGCTGTTTGTTTCTATAGAACCCTCCACAATTCGTGGTTTCATGTAGAAACAAGTTAGTGAGCAAAGTCAGTCCGTAACCACAGGCTGCAGAGTTCCGGGCTGCTCCCTACTCTGAAACACGGGGGAGGGTTGGTGTCAGGGGCGTGGGTCCTGATCACATGGCAGCTGCTGTTCCAGGGGAAGTCAGCTACCCAGCAGCCCGTAGTCCTCAGCTACCCACCCTCACCACCTAGGGTCCCATGGTGAGAGAGGTGAGTGGGTAACTGAGCTGTCTGCAGAGGGCCGGGCTGGAGGGATCTGGGGGAGGGAGTGGGGCTGGCTCCTGGTGGAATCCAGGCCTCAGACCTGATCGCTGCCGAAACTGGCCCTGTGCACTGGAGCCCCTGGTCTTCTGCGTCTCTTCTCCTCCTAGCCAGATTTTGCTCCTGGCGCAGCCACAGGTATTTGCTACTGAAGAGCTGTACCTCCCTCCCCTCGGTGGGTCTGGGTCCACCTCCACCTCCTCTTCAGGTCGCGCACTTTCCTCCCCTCTAAAACACCAGGGGCAGACCGATTCTAGGCTTTTCCATGGTGCTGCCGCCAAAGCTTGTGACCGAGTCCTTCCCCCCTAGGGCTAGTGGGTCTACCCTGTCCCTGCTGGCAGCTTTCTCTTTGCTTTCTTTATTCAGAACTAACGCTCTCATTCCCCACTCACAAAGGAAAAACAAAAGGGAAGAAGCCACAGCTGGCCCTCGCCTGCTTTGGCACAGGTGTTTCCCCTGGCCCCGCGTCGGGCACCCTGGTTCCTGTTCTGTCCCTGCCCCACGCGCCCTTGGGGCCCCCACCCAGGTTCCTCTGCCTCCCATAGGTTGGGGTTGGGGGACCGGCTCCAGCCCTTGGCCTGGGGTTTGGTGAGCGCCTTTCCTGGGCTGCGGACCCACTAAAGGCGCGCCTCCGGGCTGGGGCAGCGGCGCTGGAGGGCCGAGGGCGGGGTCGGACGTCCACCCTTAGGGTTGCGCCAGGAAGCAGGGAAGCTGCCTCCCGAAGTTGGGGGCTCAGGAAAACTTGGGCCTCGCAACTACGGCGTTAACTGCGAAGAGGCAGCCCAGGAGGAGGGGGGCCGACGAATGCCGGCCGGGAGAGCTGGGCGCGGAGGGACGGTCGGTCCCGCCCCTCGGTCTGCCCCGCCCAGCTTGCCGGGGAAGGGCCACGTTGCCCGCCCGGCCGTCCGGCCCCGGCGCGCCGCTGGAAGAGCCGGCGAAGCTAAAGGCGAGGCAGCCGCGGCAGCGCCTGGGACGCGCTTGAGCACCGGGCTCGCTCCCTGCGCCCCGGGGCGGGCCAAGTTCGGGGCAGGGACGTTGGGAGGACGTCGTGAGTAGGGGTCCGCAGGCGGAGGTCCGACCGGGGGAGGCCTCGCGGGTGCTGAGGGAGCCCCAGGGACGTCGGGTCGCCCGAAAGCCCCGGTGCCGGTGAGTGCTAGCGAGAGGGGACTTGGCTCGGGAGGGCCGAGCCGGGAGGTTAGAACTCCGCGTTCTGCTTTCGGAATCCCGGGCAGCTCCAGCTGTTAGAGGGAGGGAGGGCAGGCTCCGCAGAGTGGGGAGGATGTTGTGAAACTCGGCCCAGGGCGTTTCCGTCGGTGTGGGGCAGGGAGGGGGTGGGACTGGGGAGTGGCCTTTTCCCCTAACCTCACCCCAACATCTTTCCCCCAAGTTAATAGAGGTTGATTCTCCTCAGCCGAAAGGAAATGTTGACTCAGTGTTGAAATACATATATAATAAATTGGCAAGAAAACTTTTCTTCCTACCTGTTTGCTAACGTGTGGAGTAGAGAGCCCTGGGACCTGCAGCGCCCGCATCTGATAAACTCTGGAGTAGAGGGACTGGCTGGCCGGCTCTTCCTCCCGCAAGGCTGAAGCTTCACTTTGGTTAACCCTTGCTGCTGTAGTAGGTCTGTTGTTTGTTTTAGAACATCACTGGCTGAGATGTTATCCAGCTTTATTTTCAGTCATTTATATTTTCCAGGCCATATAGACTTTTGCTCTTACATGCTCACATCATCAAGGGCTGCCTTCCTTCAGGAATCACTGCATCCTGATCCTTCCCAATTCTGGGGACCATTGAGCTCAAGCATACCCCTGCTTCTGTGTTTTATTCTCACAGTTAGAAGCACTGCAGTATGTCTGACCTCAGTGGCCTGTGTAACAAGGTAAACTCGTTATTGTTTGAGGAATTAGAGAAATTGTCACTATCCCATCCAGGCACTGGGACCTTGTGATGAACCAAATCAACCCTGTCACATTATAAAAGAAAGAACTAAGGCACAAGTGAGTCAAGTGACTTGTCCAAAGTTGCCTGGCTGGTTGGCTGGATTGCCTGAATCCCATCCTCATACCTTTTGTGGCACTTGTATTTCCCTTTGGCCCTTTCTTTTCTGGGATAAATAACCTGCATCCCTTCCCTCCTAGGTCTTATTCTCTAAACCCTTGAATTATTTAGTGTATCTTCTCTGACTACCTTTCTGTTCTTCCGTCCTGAAATTATGGGCCTGATACATGATACAGGAGTCCAGCCGAGGGCTAAGAATGAACAAGAAAGTAGTTCAGTTAGATTTCCATTATCTGTGACATGTCTATATTTTCTGGATTTTTTAGGTTGTGCTTTTTAACGTTAAGCAAAGCAGAGGTAGAAGGGAAAATCTGTTACCATTTCTTCCACTTCTATACTTAATTTTAAAGTTAAATATAACTTTTTTTATTGCTCATGATTGGAAGTTGACTATTTGATGTTCACTTGCTGTTTAAGAAACATTTTTGCCAGAGAAAGGAAATAGGCTGGAGAATACCATGGAATCAGAGTATTAGAAAGGATATCATAGCTCCTAGGCAGTCCTTCAAATGACTCAGAAACTGAGTGAGCCCAGTACTGGTAGGTAGGACCTGCCCAGAGCCACCTGGGTTTTGGCTGAAAGTTTATGTACTGAAAGACTCACTCCTTATCTCCTACCATGGTCCAGATGTCTTTGTACTTGGTGGTGTGGATTGGCTGTGTCACTGCTCTAAAGGAGTTGTGAAAACTCCAAAAAATCAAATCCAGTTTTGAGTCTGTACCTTGCATGCCAGTCTCATAAATGACATTATTAGGAACTCAGGTCAGGATTAAGGACAGTTCTATTTAAAAAGGAAGGTGTAGCAGATTGTATTTTCCCCAAAGGTACTCACTGGTAAGTATCCCCTTCCACGTGTAGTTACGGTTTGACATTGTCCACTTCCCACCCAGTGGTAGGGTTTGTGATTCCCTCCTCTTGAATGTGAATAGGGACTTGTTTCCTTGACCAGTGAGTAAGACAAACCTTATCCAAGGCTGAATCAGGGAAAGGATATACCTTCACCTGGCTTGGTCGCTTTCTTGGGACACTCACTTTTGGAATGTAGCCACCACTTCCAGGACATTTCCAGGCCACATTGAGGGATTCTAGCAAGCACTCCTGCCAATAATGCCAATATCATCCTACAGACGTGAGAGAATGTGAGACCCTCTAAGGGAGTCTAGCCCTCAGCTTTTGAGCCTTTCACCAAGGCCTCAGGCATGGTAGAGCAGAGACAGGTCATCCCCTTGTGTTACACTGTCCAAATTTCTGACCCATAGAAACCATGACAGGGAGTAAGTGATAACTATTGTTTTAAGCCACTAAATATTGAGGTAATTTATTATGCAGGAGTAGATACCTAATAAGAAAGGGGATGTGCATGGAGACAGGGCCTCAGAGCTGAGCACAGAGAGCAGGGAGGACACTTGCCCTGATTGTCAAGACTATCTAGATTCTGTTTTTCTCATTGTTTCAGGTGCTGATGGCTGCATAATGAATCACCCCAGAACTTAGTGGCTTACAACAACAGACTCATTTTATTAACGTCTCAGCTATGTGGTTTTTGCTTGTGGTCTTTCATGTGGTTGCAGTCAGGTATGGCTGGGGCTGGGATAATCTGGAAGGCTGTCTCCTATGTCTAGTGGTTGATGCTGACTGTCAGCTGGGACCTTAGCTGGTGTTGTCAGCTGGAATACCTATAGGTGTCCTGTCTATGAAGCAGGGTTCTAGGAGTAAGCATCTTAAGAGGACCAGGTGGAAACTACTGCCTTTTATGAGTTAATCTTAAAAGTCACATAGTGTCACTTCTTCCCAGAACCAAAGGGAGGGAATATAGACCCTCACCTCTGGAGGCAGGAATGTCTTTGTCACTTGTAAGAAGAGCATATGGAATGGGATATGTGCAGTCGTCTTTGGGAAATATAACCCTTCACTCTCTTACTGCTGCTTTGGCCATCTTTCTCCCTGATTTAGGTAATAGTGCAAGCAGTCTTCCATCTAGCCACTTGAACCTCATACATGTGCCAAGTACTGTGATGGGCACAAAGGTCATAGAGTCTTCCTCCTAAGGAGGAAGGTGGGAGTCAGGTAAGTATGGCCACAGATCCTGTTACAGCATGGAGAGAGTGCTGTGGGAGTGTAGCCTGGCTCTGTGATGTTACAAAAGGAGTCACCTGAAGTGGCTTGAAAGGATGTGTGGGTGGCTGGCAGGCAGTGCCATGGGTCTTGTTTCAGGATGAGGGACCAGCTGGAGCAAAGACACAGCAGTGTCCAAGTGTACTTATCGGGGAAAAAGCAGCTTGCTGAGGCCAGAGTGCAGGGTTCATGGGGTTAGTGGTTGGATGTAAGGTTGAAAAAGGATATTTGAGCCAGTCTGTATGAAGGGCTTTGTATGTCATAATAATGAGCTTGAGTTTTATTTTGTGGGCATTGCAGCCTCTGATGGTTTTTAAGGCAAGTTAGTGTCGTGACCAGGCGTGCTCGTCAGGAGGGATGTGCTGTTGCTGTTGGAAAGGTTTGTGAGAGGGAAGCAAGATTAGTGACAGACCTGCTGGGAAACTACATCAAGAGTCAGACTTAAAACAGTATTTCATACGAAGGAATGAGTTCAGGTTAAAGGGCTGGGGGTCTTGACATGGGATGCAGTGAATGAGTAACTTTGTACTCCCCTTTTCATAGTTTTGAAGTTCTTGGGCCTAGATGTGTTTCAGAATTCAGAATTTTTTGGATTTTGAAAAGATGATCTGGTGAATTGACTGTGTAGTGGAAGATCAGAAGCAGAACAGCATAAGCCACGATGTTTATTTCTGTAGCAAAATGTATGAATAGCCACAGCAGGAAAGATAAAAGACTATAAATAGCCTCACATTAGATCAGATCAGATTTTACCAAATGAGGTTGGGTGAGGTTTTACTGCCAATTGAGTTTAGAAAACTTCTGTTTTTTTAGTGCTACTTGGATTTGGCAGTTGCAGTTGAGGAACTGTGGATGTTTTCAGATCCCAGGCACATCTGAATATTGAGGGCACTAGCACAGCAGCTTGGCAGTGCTGGTGGAGACAATCTCTGTCTTCATGTAGCTTGTAGCTGAGGGGGTCTGATAGAAGTTGAGCAAGTGGTTGCACTTGCTGCTGTTGGTGAAAGGTAGGTGGACTTTGCATGGTCCCAGACATCAAGGAAGATATCTTGGCAGAGACAAAAATCAGAGTGTGCCAGGTGAGAAGATAGGGAAGAACAGACCTGGCACATGGGCACATGCAGAGACCCCGATGGTAGGGTTGGCTGTTTTGGGACCAGATGGGAATGTGGTAGAGTAGAACAAAGAGAATGGGGAGAAAGGAGTGAAGTGACTGGCTAATATTTACATAGTCATGCTGGGCATGGTTCTAAACACCTAACATGGCTTATCTCATCCAGTCTTCACAGCAACCCAGTTTGAGTCTCAGAAATGTGACGAAATGTAGGGGAATGCCTCTGAGCTATGGCTTGCCTTTGTTGCTGCTGCACTGTCCTGATGGTGGCCTGAGCAGTGCTTCCTGGAGGAGCAGGTCACCGCTGCTGGCCAGGGTCTGGGCTTGATCATCCTTTGGGCACAGCCAGCACTTCAGTGAATAGAGTTCAGTCCCTCTTCTCTTTCCCGATCCGATTAAATAAGTCTTTTTCTTGCACAGTCATTTAGGAGGCAGGAAGTTGGGAGGCAGAGAATCCTGGCCATGAGATTGGGATTAAGTTCCAACATGGACAATATCCTGAGGGAACAGTGAAGAAAGAAACTGACAGTGCTGGGTGCAGTGGCTCACACCTGTAATCCCAACACTTTGGGAGGCTGAGGAGGGTAGATCACTTGAGGTCAGGAGTTCGAGACCAGCCTGGTCTCTATTAAAAATACAAAAATTAGCTGGGCGTAGTGACAGGCGCCTGTAATCCCACCTACTCAGAAGACTGAGGCAGGAGAGTCGCTTGAACCTGGGAGGCAGAGGTTGCAGTGACCTGAGATCATGCCACTGTACTCCAGCCTGGGCAACAGAGCAAGACTGTCTCAAAAAAAGAAAAGTAAAGAAAGAAAACTTAAACTCTTCTGTGCATCACTCTCTTCTTCCACATAAAATTTCTTAAAAATAAAATATGAGAAGATGGCCCACCACTCTGAGTAGCTTCCTCCATCAGTATGTCCCCAGCTGGGCACAGCAGTAAGGCTAACTGAAATGATGTTTACCCTGAATTCCTTAGTCACTTGATGACATGTATCTATTGATATATAGCATATATGAGCCCTGATAAAATACGAATTTAATTGCACAGTTACATGGAAATGGACTTGAGGTTTCTGAGAAGACTGATGTCCTGGAGTGGTGGGGGTGGTTGGTTTCTAGGAAGAAGACGAGTGGTGGTGGATGCTGGCAGGGGCTGGGGGAGTTTCCCCAGGAGGGAGACAGAATCCAGGCCCCTTGAGAAGCCCTTCAGGATCAGCCCTTTTATGCCAGATCTGCTGGCTTGAGAGCCCAGGGCTTCAGATTAGATCTGAGGCCCAAGGTTTTGGCTAGGATTAGAGAGTAGGCTCTGAGGCAGAGGGCAACTGGCAGAGCTGTTGGTATAAGAGGGTACATGCCTGAAGCTTTGGGGTTTGAAGGGTAAACCAGAGGCAGGACAGTCAAGGAGTTATGGTCTGGAATGGCAGCTGGCTGGGAACTGGGGAGTGTTTTAAATCCTTTTAAGTAATGTGGTAGGGCCATGCCTTTTTCTCATTGGTTTGTGTCCTGGTTCCTTTCCAGAGCCTGGCAGAGAGCAGGTATGTGATACATGTCATCAAGCGACTGACTGAAAAATTCAGAGCAAAACAGATCATTTGAATTTGCCTTGCTGATGTGGCCCAGACACTGATGGATGAAGCTATTCAGAGCTGTGGGCAATGTCTGCATATTTGATTGTCAAGAAACTTGACAGTCATGTGGAAATAGCTTAAAACTTATACAGGTTGCAAGAATAAAAAATAAAATAAGGGTGCGTGTACCCTTACTACTCAGATTCACCTGTTGTTAATATTTTGCTCCATTTGCTCTCTCTCTATGTATGCAGTATATTTTTGTTCTGAACCATTTGAAAAGTTGCATCTATCCTGGCTGTCTACCTCTAAATACTGCAGTGTGTATTACTTAAGAATAGGAGTCAGTCAGTCATCACTGATACTTTAAACTACTGTCTATATTCTAACTTAGCCATTTTACCCAATAATGTGTTTTTTTTTTAAGTTTTTTGAGGTCTCCTTGACATACAATTGACATAAATATGTTCAGTAAACTGCACATAAAGTGTACAATTTGATAAGTTTTGACATATACATACTTGTATAAGTATCACCACAATCAAGATAATAAACATATCCACCCTTCCAGAAGTTTCCTAATGCCCTTTTGCAGTAACTATCCCACTGCCTTCTCTGCCTCTTTCCCCAGGCAAAAACTGATCTGCTTTCTGTAATATAGATTAGTTTCTATTTTCTGCAGTTTTATGTCAATAGAATCATAGTGTATGTGTTCTTTTTGGTTTTTCCCAAAAACACCCATATTGTGTAATTATTTAGAAATTCAGTCATGTGTTGTGTATGTCAGTGGTTTATTCAGTTCTGTTGTTGAATATTATTCCATTCTATGAGTAAACCACAATTTGTTTATCTGTATTTCCCTATTGATGGGCCTTTGGGTTATTTCCAGTTTTGAGTAATTATGAATAAAGTTACTATAAACTTAATTCCTGTATAGGTTTTTGTATGGACATGGCTGAAAGTAGAAAGGAAGTGGGGCATGCATAAAGGGACATGTAGGAGAGACTGGGCTTGGTTATAACAGCCTGTTATCCCTGGGGAACTAGCTCACTCACCAGAGGGCATTTTGAGGGATCTGCCCCCCACAACCCATCCAAACACCTACCATGAGGCCCCGCCTCCAACATCACCAAACTGGGGTTCAAATTTCAACATGCGTTTCAGAGAACAAACCATATTCAAGCTATAGCATACCTACATAATTATTATAACACTATTAGTAAAATCATCTTTGCCTTGGGAATTTTCAGTAGCACCTTTATTACGTATTAGATAGCTTTGTGTAATTAGTCTGTTTCTGGAGTTTAAATTCTATTCCATTGGATGGTCTGTTTATTTATGTACTAGTACCACACAGTTGTAATTATGGAGGTTTTTTAGTATGTAGAGTGTGTGTATGTGTATATATATATATTTATTATTTATTTTTATTTATATATATATATATATTTTTTTTTTTAAGACTGGGTTTCACCGTGTTGGTCAGGCTGGTCTTGAACTCCCGACCTCAGATGATCCGCCTGCCTTGGCCTCCAAAGTGCTTGGATTACAGGTGTGAGCCACCACATTCGGCCTATTTACTTATTTTTTTTGAGACAGAGTCTCATTCTCTTGCCCAGGCTGGAGTGCAATGGCACAGTCCAATCACAGCTCACTGCAGCCTCAGCCTCCCAAGCTGCATGCCACCTGCCCAGCTAATTTTTGTTGTTGTTTTTTATTATTACTTGTAGAAACAGGGTCTCCCTATGCTGCCTAGAATAGTCTTGAACTCCTGGGCTCAAGTGATCCTCCTGTGTTGACCTCCCAGAGTGCTGGGATTGCAGGTGTGAGCCACTGTACCTTGCCAGTATGCAGTATGTTAATATCTGGTTGGGCTAACTCCCTCCTCACAGCTTATTTTTATATTTTCCTAGTTTTATTGTCAGTTTGTCTAGCTCCATAAAAAGGTATTTTTATTGGGATTTTTGATGATGCCGAGATGTCTTGACCAAGTTATAAGGGATATTCAAATGTTCTTTTGTGTCTTTCGGTAATGATAGCTTTGTTCATATAGGTTTTAAATGTTTATTTAAGTTTATTTCTAAATATTTTCTCATTTCTGTGGCTTTTGTAAGAAGGGTTTTCTCATCCATGTTTTCTCATGAGCTATTCGTGGATATGAAGGCTATCCATTTGTGTATGTTGATTTTTATATTCCACTACCTTGCTCAGTTCATTGATAGTTTGGTTTAGTTTCTTATTGATTCTAGAGTTTTCCAGGCAAATTCTCACAAGTAAAGATAATAGAAATAGTTTGCTTCTTGTCCACATCTGCTATTAATTGTTTTTTTCTTGGTTCATTTGCACTGGCTGCTCCCTCTGGCAGAATGTTAAATAAACCTGGAGATCATGGGCAGCTTCGTTTTGTGCCTGACATTCATGGGAGGCGGTAAGGGACTTAATTGTAGCACTGAGGTGTGATATTTGATTTTAAAAATCAGTACTTAGGGCAGTTAGGTTAGAGGAATTGTGGGCAGATGCTGTCACTCCTTGCTCCTCCCCTCCTCCTTCCCACCTAGAGGGAAATGAAATCTGACAGGTGGAAAAGGGGGAGTTGGAGTTCTTTTTCTCTATCCTTCTACCAGTATCACCTTCTACCTTCCCATCATACATATGTTGCTGAGTCAGTATGTATGTTGACTACTTCTGGAGTCAACCTCCTGGTCTTCCTCCAGCCTCACTCTTGGCCTTTCCCTGCCCCCACATTCCTCTACCTGTGGGGTGTAGAGCAGCATGCCTTTGTGTGATGGTTTGTTTTCTCTTTCCTGTCTTCAGGTACATGGCTGCTTCCTAATCCCATAGTCCAGAGGAAGTATCCCTAGGACTGCGGGCAAGGGAGCTGGACAAGCCCAGGGCAGCCTTGAGCCCTCCCCTACCCTGCCCTCCCCTGTGGGGGCCAGGATGCTGAAGAAGCAGTCTGCAGGGCTTGTGCTGTGGGGTGCTATCCTCTTTGTGGCTTGGAATGCCCTGCTGCTCCTTTTCTTCTGGACACGCCCAGCACCTGGCAGGCCACCTTCAGTCAGTGCTCTCAATGACGACCCTGCCGGTCTCACCCGTGAAGTGATTCGCCTGGCCCAAGACGCCGAGGTGGAGCTGGAACGGCAGCGTGGGCTGCTGCAGCAGATCGGGGATGCCCTGTGGAGCCAGCGGTGGAGGGTGCCCACAGCGGCCCCTCCCGCCCAGCCGCGTGTGCCTGTGACCCCAGTGCCAGTGGTGATTCCCATCCTGGTCATTGCCTGTGACCGCAGCACTGTCCGGCGTTGCCTGGACAAGCTGCTGCATTATCGGCCCTCAGCTGAGCTCTTCCCCATCATCGTTAGCCAGGACTGTGGGCACGAGGAGACGGCCCAGGCTATCGCCTCCTATGGCAGTGCAGTCACGCACATCCGGCAGCCTGACCTGAGCAACATCGCTGTGCCTCCTGACCACCGCAAGTTCCAGGGCTACTACAAGATCGCGCGGCACTACCGCTGGGCACTGGGCCAGGTCTTCCACCAGTTCCACTTCCCCGCAGCCGTGGTGGTGGAGGATGATCTGGAGGTGGCACCGGACTTCTTTGAGTACTTTCAGGCCACCTATCCACTGCTGAAGGCCGACCCCTCGCTCTGGTGCGTTTCGGCCTGGAATGACAACGGCAAGGAGCAGATGGTGGACTCCAGCAAGCCTGAGCTGCTCTACCGCACCGACTTTTTTCCTGGCCTGGGCTGGTTGCTGTTGGCCGAGCTCTGGGCTGAGCTGGAGCCCAAGTGGCCCAAGGCCTTCTGGGATGACTGGATGCGCAGGCCAGAGCAGCGAAAGGGGCGGGCCTGCATACGCCCTGAAATCTCAAGAACAATGACCTTTGGCCGCAAGGGTGTGAGCCACGGGCAGTTCTTTGACCAGCACCTCAAGTTCATCAAGCTGAACCAGCAGTTTGTGCACTTTACCCAGCTGGACCTGTCGTACCTGCAGCGGGAGGCTTATGACCGGGATTTCCTTGCCCGTGTCTATGGGGCTCCCCAGCTGCAGGTGGAAAAAGTGAGGACCAATGATCGGAAGGAGCTTGGGGAGGTGCGGGTGCAGTATACGGGCAGGGACAGCTTCAAGGCCTTTGCCAAGGCCCTGGGTGTCATGGATGACCTCAAGTCAGGGGTTCCCAGGGCTGGCTACCGGGGTATCGTTACCTTCCAATTCCGGGGCCGCCGTGTCCATCTGGCGCCCCCACAGACATGGGAGGGATATGATCCTAGCTGGAATTAGCACCTGCGTATCCTTCCTGGGCCCCTCCCTGCCACATCATGAGCTGAGGTGGAACCACAGTCCCCAGGCTGCATCGGCCTGCCTGTGTTTGCCTCTTAGGTGCATTTATGTTTTTGAGTTTTCTGAGTGGCATTTGAGTGCACAAATGATAAGGTGAGGATTATTCTCCCATTCTCAAGGGAGTCAGATCAGGGGAACTATTCTGGGGTATGTTGGGGGGTATTAAATAGGAAACCACTGTATGGTAGGGGGACGCTGGGCTTGTTTGAGCCAGAAATGTCTATGTCCTGAGCTTTCTCCTGGAGCATGTGCAGAGTTTGACCAGAGTTTGACAATGTTCACTCTCTTGACCAGACACCTTCTCCCTGACCTGGCTCTTCTAGCCAAGGCATGAGTCCTCTTTCCATACCTGCTCCCCTTCCGCCATTGGGGGCTGGCTTATGGGAGAAGGGGACATATTTGTGGCCAAAATGATACTAACCAAAGGGACTTCCTTGTCAGGGCCTGGTGGAGTTGGTGGGTCATCAGGGTTCACTGCCTCCTGCCCTTCTCTCCTGTCTCTGACACCCACTTAGCCCTTCTCTCTCTGCAGCCTAGCAGTTTATGGTTCTGAGATGGAAAGTTGAAGGAGGCAAGCAAGACCTCGCCTCAGCCCATGCTCA